TTTTGTAAGATTTATTCAATAAATATTAAATTAGCCAATGTCTTCTTACGTAGGAAGAAATGGAAGAAAATCCACAACCAAATATTTATGATAACTATAAGTTTGTAACGAGGAAAGAATTGTCAAGGTCATACAATTATTAGTTCATTTATTGATTTCGCTTATATTATGGACTTTCATATACTGAATTTTTTGACTATTTACAGTCTCGGTATGGATCATTTGATTGGAACCAATGTTATGAAACCATATATGCACGGATTTTTCGTTGACTTGCGCTTATACGAACAAGTGCGTAAAAATTTCGTATTTTCTCATTTAAGAGATAAAAAACTAAATTTCCAAATAATGTAGGCAAAACTTATATCAAACCCATTTGCTTATGCGGAATATCGAGAGAGAATTATTAAAGATAAATTAGAAGCGAAACGCGAGTCTCGTATACGCGCTACTAAAAAATTGCCTAAAGTCAATAAGGAATTAGCAAACCGATTATTACATTTATCAGATAAAAAGAAAAAAGGAAATCAAGTTTGTAAATCACGAATAATCATTATTGTTTTGAATATTATTATTTATTAAATATTTTTCCCATTAAATTAAATTAAATAGGGAACGGCAAACCTTCTCCAAGACCAAAGATTTATGGAACTATTCACTAACCCAGAATATGAGGTTGACAAGAATACTACGGAATACCAATTGTCCCATCCTAGCCATTTTACTGTACATTTTCATTTAGTGTTATCAGCCTGATTTAAATTAGTTAAGGTTTTATTAAATTATTTAATGGAATTTCTTTTAGGAAAAAGTCATTAAGAAGGAACTTGATGATGATGACGATGATGAGGACAATTATAATGAGGCCAATGAGTCTGACGATAAACAAATTGATGAGTCCACGAGATCCGAATATGAAACTGATAGTGACGATGGTACTATTCTTATTTCAGAATTATAGTATAGAAAGGCCGAAACTCAATATATATTACGTTGAGTTTCGGCCTTTCTACACAAAGACCCATATGCGAGTGACGCCAGTAAGTCACACGTCTTTATGCACTTGATAGTTTTCACCTTACAGGGTTTAGTTACTGGACTTGTTTTTTTGTTCTAAATAACATTATTAGAAATTGAATCCCAAGGATTAAAACTATCCAATGCATTAAGAACGTTGAACCTACAGGTTTTTACTTATATATGGTGTGAACAACTTAATCGCGTCAAAAGGCGCCGAAAACTTTGACCATTATTAACAACGCTGCAATATTATTGGTCAATTTGTGAAAAAAAAAAAAATTATACGCCGAAATAGTTTATGATTTTTTTTTTTTAGTTTAGACAAGATCAAATTGTTCACCATACTTTGGGGTGTCCAATAGAGGTAGATAATCTTTTCATTCAAAAAAGGAATATACGCGTGTGAATATATTTTGAATTCCTTGTAACTTGTAATAGGACCCTTTTTTTATTTTCACTATATTAGATTTTGCAAATTATTTTTTTTATATTACACATAATATTTTGAAACAAAAGTTCTGTTACATTAAAGAGCAAGTTACAAGAAATTCAAAATATATTCTCATGCGTATATTCCTTTTTTTTTGAACGAAAGACCAAAATTATCATTTTTTTTATGTTAATTAATAAAAATTCGTGCATATCTATTGATACCCCAACCATACATAATAATTGTTATTAATACTAATCATAATATTTCATTTTTCTAAAGATCTCATATCTCAAATATACAATAAAAAAAGAATGGAATCTGTAAAAAAGATGAAAGGAGATTCAGTTCGTGCTACTGGACTAACAAAATCAGTTCGCCAAGAAAAGCGTCATCCAAAAATGATTGGAATAAAAGTATGCAATTTAATTTGTATGTTGTGTTAATTTGATTAAACATTCAATAACAACAATAACATATATAATGCTATAGACCAGACACATGTCCAAGTCATCCATAAAAAGAAATCGAACTATAACGGGTAATATGGAAATGAAATTTAAGATTAATAAACAAGGAGGAAATAAAATGTCTACAGATAAAGAAGACTCTCATAGGACTCGGTTACGCAATAGGAGATCAGCTAGCAAGAACGTTTTCAGAGGACTTGATTAATGCTTACTGTAAACGTGTTAGATCAGCTGTTAATGCTATTTAAATTTCTATTGAATTCAGATTTTAGACGTTATGTTTCTTTTTAATAAATTTTTTGAATTCATCGGTTGACTTTGAGATTTTTCCTTACTAAGTCACGATAATGCTGGGTCAGTAAAAATTATCTCGCATATATGTTTACATATAAACAATAGGAGACTATTATTACAAATTACGCACACACATGCATGTAACAACTTGTGCACACTACAGTAAATTAGAGACGAGTACTCAGTAAAAACTTGGTCGGAGCCCGTTTTTGGTATTTGTCATATGAATATTCGAGTAACATTTGGGCTAGGTACTGCAAATCAATTTTTTTTTTTTTTTACATAAATCAATTTAGAATGTAATTAACATTTTTATTAAGGACAAAGTTTGTAATGAAACATTACAGATTATAATAAAATTTAAATTGATAATTTATCACATACCGAAGATCTTTTTTGTCATTCCCCCCCTTTCTGTAGCACCTAGCCCAATTTGTGCCTGATGATTTGTATTATTTAGCAGTCAAATAAAAATCGTATTTTCTTTCAGGCCACCAAACGCAATGGCACCCACGAAAACTCAAGATACTGAGTTAGAAAACCATTCAGCGACTACAAGTGTGCCAGGATTTAACATTGCAGCGGGAAAGGCTACCGTCTCTGTTACAAATATACTCCCCAATGTGGACAATCATGTAAGTAACCCGGTTGTAGATAATAGATGTGACAGCTTTACAGGTACTGTACAAGTTTGTGTATCGTTCACTAATTAGCAAGTTTTCGTGGCTGGTGATAGATATGTTAGAAAAGCCCACAAAATATTTGTCTTTACAATTTAAAAAAAAAATAAAAAATAAATAGGAGAATAGATTGATTTTTCAATATTATCATTTATAAACATGTACCAAACGGTGATTTCTTAAATTAATCATCTTTCGTTCAAACGAATCGAATTTATTTATTCATAATCATGCAAAATAGGAATGACAATTCATCAGACTGCTCAACAAGGGAATTTGCATATAGCAAAAAATTTGATCGAACAGGGTAAAGTTAAGGCAACTGACCGAGACGCACAGAATGTTACCCCTTTGCATTGGGCGGCAATTAATAATCATGTGATGATGGCAAAGTATTTGATCGAAAATGGTGCTGAAGTAGATGCTCGTGGTGGAGAACTAAATGCTACTCCGTTGCATTGGGCAGCAAGGTGTGCATCTAAATATATTTTACTTATTTACCTTGTCATGTTAAAAAAAATTTGGAATTTATATCTTTTCTTTTAAAAATATTAGGAGTGGTCATCTGCCTATTGTAACTCTTTTAATTAACCACGGTGCTGATCCTAATCTTAAAGATTCTCAAGGATTTAATGGACTACACATTGCCACACATTCTTCTAACACTATGTTAGTGTTGTATCTTGTATTTCAGGATATGGACATTGATACACCAGATATTCTACAACATACACCTTTAATGTGGTCTGCTTATCAAGGAGATCCTGCAACTTTAGGTTTATTACTTAGATTGGGTGCATCCGTGAAAAAAACTGATGCTGCACAGTTTACTCCTTTGCATTGGGCAATGATTAAAGGGCATCAGACGTGTATAAGAAAATTAATAGAGGCCGGTGCAGAAATAGATTTAAAAGAGGAGAATGGAAAAACACCTTCAGATATTGCACGGGAAATGAAGTCTGATAGGATATGGGAAAAAGCGTTAAACGAATCAGGGATAAAAGGTGATGGAAAGAGGAAAGAGTATATGTTTGGAAAGGTAATATCTACATTATTATTTATGAACCGTCGAATTCTTTTAAACTATTTGCTCATGATTTCACTTAATTTTTATCACATATAAACAGCGGACTACTAAGACCATTATATTTTTCCTTCCATTTTTTCTACTATTTACTGTATTTAATACTTTGGTTTATTATCCCTGGTACATCGGATTGCCTATAATCATCTTGGAATTCATGGCATGCTATGTATTGATAGTCAAATTTCTCATAAGAGCACAAACACCAGAAGCTTTGGTGCAAACACCTTATATCACGAGCTTATTTCAAGCAAGCGCTTTTTGGGTTGGATTCACATGGATTTATAAGTTATTATTTGGTATTTAAATATAATTTACATCATAATTTTGTTTTATCGCATGTCATTATTCTGTGTCATGTTATTTTGGTTTCAAAAATTTTTTGATAACAACATTATTAGATTTTAAATAGAGTAAATTTGTTTACTGATCACTATTATGGATGATTATATAGCCTGGCAAAAAATGACTTGCGTTTGCCTTAACATTATCGTTATTTAACTAATTTTTTTTCTTTATCATTACAACAATAGTTACATCGTATTTACTTGTGCCAAATGTAATATTTGTCACCTCATACTTCACATCCATGTATTCGTTTTATAAGGCAGCATTGATTGATCCTGGATTCATTCAAACATTGCCATTGCATCACGAAAAACAAAAACAGGTTCGGAATAGTTTATAATTGTTGTATTCCTTTATAATTTATTCATTTGTTGTATGCCTTTACAATTTACTCATTTGTTGTATGCCTTTACAATTTACTCATTTGTTGTATGCCTTTACAATTTACTCATTTGTTACTTAGTTGATAGTCGACCTTGCAAATAAAGGAATGCTTGACTCAAGGCATCTCTGCATAACATGCTTGGTTAGTGCTAATTGACATGCCCTTTACAATACCCAGTCAGAGGTTAGTTATTAAATCCTTTTTTTTTTCAATTTAGATTAAAAAACCTCTCAGGTCAAAGCATTGTAAAATTTGTAATAGATGTGTTGCTCGCTTTGATCAGTACGTTTTTCTTTTTTTTTTGTGAATGGTCTAAATTAGAGTACAGTAGGACAAAATTTTTAACAAATTCTCATTTTATTTATATTTTCATATTAGTCATTGTCCATGGATACATAATTGTATTGGAGTAAGGAATCATCGTTCATTTATGGTATATCTTATAATGATGATCGTAGCGATGCTCAGTTTTGAATATATCTGTTATCAATGTACGATTATTTTTATTTCTGTACGGTTATAAGGAAAAATATTGTAATATTTAAATTTTTAATTATTTTAAAAATAATAGATTTTGTAATATCCACACCTAAATACATACCACTTCCATCAAACTCTTGTTTTTTGAATAATACTCTGTGTGGATTTTTCCAATATGATTCGTGGACTGCTTCCTTAGTTATCTGGCTCGGAATGCAACTTACGTGGAGTATAGGATTATTAAGCATACAATGCTATCAGATCGCAAAAGCAAAGACTACAAATGAAATGGCCAATTTTCATCGGTACCCCTATTTTGGACATAATACAAGTATAAGTGTCCGGGAACAAATTATGGCAACCTTGGCGTCAGGACCTGGTGTGGCTGGAACTGCTCAAATTGGTGATAACGGTGATGAAGATTTAGGTGGAATGAGTAATGTAGGTGATAACCATAATGATGTTCATAGACATCGGAGACAATATAATAATCTTGACCCTCAGCATTCTGCCCCAGTTTTGAGAATGTTTGGTGGAATTGAATCAACTACAATGCATCGAAGACATAATGATAATGAAAATAGAAACCCTTTTGATTTTGGTTGTTGGAATAATTGTGTGGATTTTTGGTCACAAGGAAACGGTGGAATGTTGCATAATGTGGATTGGTTTGACATTTTCGATGTTCCACTTGAAATACATGGTAATTTAAGACCAAGAAGTGGGTATGTGGCTTTAAGGGACGATGAAGTTTAATATATATATATATATAATAATATTTTATAGTGTATTTATACTAATCGAGTGTTACAAGAAAAAAAAAAAAAATTCAAATGTATAATCAAATATTATTTCGTAAATATAATAAAATTGGGCTTTGTTATTAAGAACTATTTATATTTAATATATATATATGTATATATATGTAGAAACAAAAATTTGGATATAAAATTGCCAATATTTATTTATTATTTTTAATATTCGATATTTAAAAAAAAAATTTTTTTATATCTCAGGTAGCAATGATTGATTCATTCACTTCATTAATCTTAATAAAATTAGAAAAGTGCAAACTTTCGTCAAAGTTTTTAATATCAAGTGGTTGTATCAATTCCCTTCCACGTAATCCCATAAAGCAATAACTAATAAAGGGTGTTCTCAAGCAACTCTCTCAATGTGATCCAGATCGTGCACAAGCATTATAAATAATTCTTATAGCAATATTGTAGAAGACTCATAGTGCAGAATGCGGATATTAAGGGCGTTCTC